AAGATGCAAAAATAAAAATAGGATATTTATCCAAATAGAAGAGGAGGGAGTAATCCAGTTGTAAAAAACATTGTTTAGAAAGCGGTTTTATTACTGAACTATACTTTTTCTACTAAAATTTTTGTTTAATCCATTGAATTTTTTGTTATATACATATTTAAATAGTTTTCTTATGACTTTTAAAATAAGATACAGAAAAGTACAGTAGGAATCTAAAAAATACATTTAAAAACTGTACTTATTTTCATATTGTTTTAATAACTAAATTAAGGGTACTCAAAAATAATTTTTTGTGGTTTTGCAGGGCTCTATAATTTAATTCGCAGAAGTAAATCATATACATAGGGCGCAATTTCCACGGTTTCTATCATATTATAACTATAAGAAATTTAGGCACATAGTTAAATGATGTTATTAACAAAAAAAATTTTAAAACCAAGAATTTTAAACTTGATAATAAAAATTTTTAACTTTAGTTCATAAAACTTACTTTATGAATAGATATTAAAAATCAATCATCATGTACTTTTATGTATATTATTGGTATGTATTAAGTCCATCTATTTGCCTCTATTAAATGAACAAATTTTGAATTTTAAAAGAACTTTTCCTAACGTAATCAGCGCATTGAAAAACATAAGCATACCAAGTTTTAGCCCAATCGGTGGCGGATGGTGTTTGGAGCTATATCCTAATAATACATTTATTTTGAAAAGCAAATTTTTTCAAGAAAGTATGTACAAATTTTACCTGAATGATAAAGTAGGCTTAAGGTCGCATTAGGGTATCTGTCCCAATTATGGACCCTTTAAGAAAAATTTCGAGCTCAACTTTATTTTGTGTCTAACGGTCAATAAAACTACACCTTGTATCATAACGTATAAGTCGTTTGATTCTTTTTTAACAACATCAAATTTTTTTTTTATCAAAAAGTTTTGTTATTTTTATTTTAATGATGAAACAAGAAAAAAAAATTTTGTCCGTATTACGGACCCCCTCGATGGACTTTGAACCTATCGTGGACCCCCCTATTACGGACCCTGTCCATAATGTGGACCCCCCCAATTATGGACCCTGTCCATAATGTAAAAAAATATTTGTATGTAAT